TTGTACTTCAAAGTGAAGTTTTATATTGGTACATCTTGGTGTCATTTCAACAAAAACAGTTCTTCCTTCTCATGATTGTGGAAGAATAAAAAGAGTGTTACACCATATAAGTGAGAATTTCTAAACATTATAATTATAACCTAAAAAGATTCTATTTAGTAAAACTTCCTCCTCTGTAAAAATAGCCTCAGACAGTATAGGCAGACGGTATAGTCAGTTTTTTTAGTATAATGTTCAAGAAACTGTAAAAATTAATCCATCATAATTATAGCAATAAGACCAAGTCTCCCGGAATTACTATTCTCCAGGCAGACGGCTGTAATTAGATCAGGGCAGAATAATCCCATTTGAGGTCTTACCCTATCATTTAAGGGTCTCAGTCTGGCAAGGTGATTCCATACACTCCAGCTAATTTCCTTATAAAGCACAATTATTTCTGGGTGCCATCCGAAAAAAGCCAGGGGTAATTATCGGAATAATCTATCAGAGTGCTTCAAGGTCTTTATAATATTGAATTTATTACATGTATACATTTTGTTCCTTGTAGTTTATATATCTATAGGGGGCTAACTAGCTAACTGTGAGAGAGGGAATGTAAAATGGGGCTTTATTTTTCGAGTGATGGTGTGGAAGGATATGGATAATCATTTTTCAAGTGAGGGTGTAGGAAATGGGATGTGGGTTTTTATTCATTACATTAAAGTAAGACAATTGTTCCACAAATTAGGTTTAAGTTTAGTAGTCTCATTATAACTGTGTAAGGTGTTTTAATGATAGGGACTTCCAGTAAGCTTTCCAGGAACAGTAAAATTTAGGTTGCAATTACAAATGATTAAGAGGACAAAGAATAAAAGAGAAATATTTACTAATTAAGTAATTCAGGGAATGACCAATATTTAAATATCATGGTTTAATGTCCAATTAAACAACCATATAAGGCAACCTTAATGTGAAATTTACAGAAATACATGTTATCATGAATAAGAATGTAGACAGTGTGTCAGTTGGCAGCTTACATTTATCAACATCTATATTGATGACAACAAAATCAAGACAATAAAATTACCATTGTTTTGCTTCAGAAAAAAACCCTGTCTTAAAAACATATAAATACTTCAATCCAGGAGTTAAAACATATCAATTAAAGCCAATGTACTATGTTAATTAGCAGGGCAATGTAATTATAATGTTAAGATGGATGTTTACCAGGAGACACATTCTTCAATCTACGGCTGTCATTCTCTCCCATAGTAATTACATTTGTTGTCAGCCACTTTCTAACAGACACCTCTAAATCAGGCTAATGAACAGTGTTTTTGGAAAGATCCTACAATGTGATTCATAGCTTGGACCAAAAAAATATTCCAACTTGACCATTTTAGAGTAAAAAAAAGTGTGTTTTTATTTTGTTTGTTTTTCTTTTTAAGAAACCAACAAGACTTATTGATTGAAAAGGGAAAACATTCAAAGTGACTTTGTATTCGATACATTTATACATCTGCTGGAACTGAAAGTGATCAGCCTTTGCCACCAGTAGAAATCCAGGCTGCAGTCTGCCCATTCCATGCTATTGGTAGTTATATTTTTGTATTCTAATAAATATTCAAATCTCTAGAACTTTCAATGGATTGAAAGTTGTGCCTATCCAATGCCATTCAGTAGGATTAGGGGCTTAATTGTGTGCAATGCTGATATTGATCAGTGTTTTGAATTTGTATATATCTATTTCAGTCATTTTAAGCATGCAAATCGAAAGACAGAAATACAAGGCACATATATTTATTAAAAGGGAAAGGAAGTTGAGTACTGTACTTAATGCTATATAGGCCTAGCCATTTGTGGCTGACAGGTTGCCTTTAAGGGAAGAGGCATCAGCAATATATATATGAGGCGACTAAAAGGGTTGGAATTACTGGAGTCTAAACATCTCTTAGCTCCAGCAGGTGAGGTGTTATAGTGTTATTAAATTTTTTATTCTATAGCAAAATCATCTTTCCTGTTTTGTCACAGGATGACCTAAATTGTGTTGGTGTGCTTCAAACCAAACAAAACAAATATAGGCTTGCCACAGATATCTAAAAGGTAACGGATAAATGTCTAAAATACCTAAAATATCTTTGACTTGAAAAGCCAACTAATCAATAAAGTCAAAATGACCAAAGCAAAGGGTCTATTAACTCAAAACAACATTTTGTATAGAAACAACCACACATTCTGCAGAAGGTTAACTGTATTTATATAATATAAGACAAAATTCCCACATTAATCAAAATTGTTAAGTAGAATAGATAAACAAAGATCAGTTGTCTCCCTGTAATTAATCATTTTAATCCCTCATCAAACAAAATGTAAATCATACCATTCTAATCCAATGATCTTCCTGCTTTAAAATAGATTGTTGTTAATAGATATCAACAAGGGGGTCACTCATTTTAATGGCCACCCTAATGGGCATAAATTGACGATATAGGTCAGTTATTTACCTAAAAGGACACATGTACACAAAATTTATACAAAATTACCATTTAGTTTCAAACAAAATTTACCATTTAGTTTCCTGAACTAATGTTTGGATATTAGAAGGGCTCTTTTTTTAGATATAGGTGCACTCTAATCTATAATATCATCTTTATGAAAAAGGTTTTCCTATTGATAATTGTTAAGAAATAAATAATAACACTCAGCTAACAAATGATTGAAGCAAAATCATTTCAACTTAAAAATAGTCAATATGTGCACATTCACTTCTGGTCCATGTAAAAGTCCATTTAAGATTAAATGTCATTTAACATTTTTATAATGATGTTTCCTCTATTTGATGCAAATTATGAGTGAAACTGTTAATAAAATTTACCAAACTTGAAACTAAATGGACCTTTATGAATATGTTGCTATCATATTAGCATTGTTTATATCTGATGAGCAGGCAGTTTTTGTGTTTCTTTTTCTTGTTGGTTTTTAGTCACATCCAAACTATCATGGTCAAAGAGTGGCATATACCATCTTTACTGTTAGAGGAAGACGTCAAGTGCCTCTTCGTGCATTATTCAGGCACAAGCTGGCACCGAAGAAGAACAATTACCCTCCATATGCTTAACCTGGATAATATCCTCACATGAAAGAACCTACAGCACTTGGTGAGATTCGAACCTACTGTGATGAGTGGTAAGTGGTTTAAAGTCAGCAGCACTTACCACTTGGCAAAGGATTGAGCAGGCAGCAGTTGTTTCAAATCTGCTCAAACATACACACATACTATAGTCTATAAAAACAATGACTTCATCCAAAGCATCCATCAAGATAAACCAAGACAGACTGAGACTTGAACCCACACAGCAGTTAACTTAAAGTTGCATGTAAAGTACATGTAACTGTAATCCAGGGGTAGGAAAAAGATAACTTATTGTTAACTTTATTGACCACCACCATGCATATTGCATATACCGGTAAAATAGCATTGATTACCTGTTATAAATGATTAATACTGTCTGACACAAACAAACAAACAAATATAAAAAGAAAATGATGCATTTAGTGTGTAAGAATTTAATAAATAAATATAATAATCTTTAACAGGACTAGATAATGCTATTGCATTCAATTATATTGAATTTACAATTTTTTTGAGACAATTCACTTCAACAGATCACAAAACAAAACATTAATAGATATACATGTAAGATAAAAGATGTGCTTGGCACTGCCCTTAAAAGGAATGACAAAGTATTTCAAGAATTCAATGTAATACTGTTAAAGTAAGGTTTTTCAAGTTTTACCAGGTGAAACTAAGGTTGAAATACATAAAAAAGATAAAATCACCATTTCTCATGCGGACTAAATTGGTGTTTATGTGCAAAATAGCAAACCCCTCTTTCCCATCCCCTGGAAATCCAAAAGAAATGGTGACATTGGTGTGTTTTAATATGTTTTGCTTTTTCACTCCACCACAAAAAATCTGCAGATGAACAATGTAAAGCCTAAGTATTTCACTGTTGAATTTAAAGTCACACCAACACTGTAATGGTCACATGATGACGTTCCAGCTTTAATGGTACAAGAAGATCCCAGGACCCTTTGTGCATTATTTCAGGCACAAGCAGGCACCTGAGTAGAACCACCAACCTTCCTTAAGCTGGCTCGGTTGTTTTCTCACATGAAAGAATTAAAACTACCAGATGGGAATCAAACCCACAGCAGTCCGGGTTAATTTAAGTGATTTGAATTCGGCAATCTTAATCATTAGGCCATAGAGGCCTTTTCGTATTACATTGAATCCTTGATTAACAAATACAAAATTGACTCTGAATAAGGGTCTCGTTGAATGCAGGGGTTAAAACACCAAAAAGCAAGGGGGGGGGGGGGGAGCGACTTTAATATTTACAAAAAGTATGTAAAAATGATTGTCCAATGTTTTTCCATAATTTCTGGGTTAAAATATTAGCAATCATTTGCAGGAATGTGTTTATAAAGATTTCACTTTTGTTTTTCCATAATTTCTAGAATAAAACATATTAAGCAATCATATGTGGAATGTGTTTATAAAGATTTCACTTTTGTTTTTCCGTAATTTCTAGAATAAAACATATTAAGCAGTCATATATGGAATGTGTTTATAAAGATTTCACTTTTGTTTTTCCATAATTTCTAGAATAAAACATATTAAGCAGTCATATATGGAATGTGTTTATAAAGATTTCACTTTTGTTTTTCCGTAATTTCTAGAATAAAACATATTAAGCAATCATATGTGGAATGTGTTTCTAGAGAACATTATTTGATCTAGATTTAATGACATTAAATTTCAAAATTTTCATTTTGTTTTTCCATAATTTCTAAAATAAAACATTTGCAATCATATATGGAATGTGTTCCTAAAGAACATATTTTTATCTAGATTTAATATCACTAAATTTCAAAATTTTCACTTTGTTTTTCCATAATTTCTTAAATAAAACATTAGCAATCATACATGGAATATGTTTCTAAAGAATTATTATTAGATCTAGATTTAATAACCCTAAATCTCAAAATTTTCACTTTGTTTTTCCATAATTTCTAGAATAAAATATTGGCAGTTGTGGAATGTATTTCTAAAGGACATATTTTATAAAGATTTCTGTTTTTTTTGCAACTTCTAGAACAAAAACACATTAAATATTTATCAAACAACAGGAAGGTTGAGATTACTCTAAAACATTTCCATCAACATAAACAAGATATTTAGAACAGACATTATATTTTAGACATAATTTTGACGTTATCTTTTTGTTTCTTCATTTGCTCCTCAAATACTGTTTCAAGAACTTTACTAACATTGTCCTCTAACTGTGACGTAACATTGAGCAATGTGTTATCCTCAACAAACTCCTTACACTTCATGCCATAGTTTGGCACACAGTCCCTGTAATGATGAAGATATGCAACTGAAGTGTCGACCTTTTCCACTTTCAAATCTTCCCCCGCAGGTTTACTGATATGATGAATTCCAACTTCGAATATTTTCGAAGGTTTCACAAGTACTTTTGTTCGCACTTTACTAAATATTGCACTTCTGCCAGTGTGTCTAGCTGTCAATAATTTACTGGTTGATTTACTCTTAGAAAATTTCTTGTCGTAAAATGCACTATGAAAGCTGAGGCCACATACATTGTCCCCAAAAAGCTTTGGAATGAGGTTTGTAAGAGTTGCGTCCCCATTGTGGGGAACGATGAATTCATCTAGATCTATGATGGCAAGATATTGTGTGAGAGACATTGACCTATACATGCAATCATTGTGGGCACTAAGTTGCCCATTATACCAAATCTGTCCATTATGTATAACCGACGGCAGAGTCCATTCTATCAAAGTTACTATACCAATTGCCTTATAGTAATCTAAGACTTTAAACATGTCTGGATTTTTTATAGTTGAAATATAAAAGATAAAATGCTGAAATCCTAGTATTCTGTTAAGTTCTATAAATTCAACAAATCTACTAACATCAATATCGCCAAAAAGTGGCGGGACGCAAATGCTAAAAGTATAAGGTGTGTTAATCAAAGCACCACTCATTTTATTGTCACGTCGTTCACGAACTGAATTTGTTAAGGTTGGCGGTATTAACCGTGATACCCGTAGATGGACTGGAACAGTTTCCGGAACAACATAAAACCGCTTCACTGCTTCAATCTGCACCGAAACGTTCACCTGACAAATATCCTCATCAGGGATAGGGCAAGACAAAACAAAACCACCATAAGTCCGTCCATGATTCTCGCAAAGTTCATAAAATATGGCAGTTGTTTTGGTTTCAGAACCATTGTTATTTCTAAAATTACAGAAAACTGTCAAACGACGATTGGCTTTATTTAATGCTAGCACCGCCATTATCCGAACAAACTTATCACTGTATCTCTTGTCTAAATACGCTGAATAGACATAAAACGAGGGTTCTAATGCTTGAAAAGATCTATTTGCAGTTAAAGCTGGTATACAACAATTAGATGATTTCAACACATTATTTGGAATGCTTTGAATTTTGTTAATGCTGACTGGAACGACAGTATCCTTCTTTTTAGAGCCTTCTGTCGTTCTTCTTGGTGTATTAATTTGTTTTGCATGTTTCAGAGCTGTAGTATCGAATACTTCCTGTTGTGATTCTAAAACTTTCCTCTTTATATCAATTGGCGATTTAATTTTCAAGAAGGCTGTTTCAAACTCGGCAAGTACAGCCTGCTTGTCCCAAGTCCGGCTTTTTCCTTCGGACTGCAAGTTCCCGTGGAATATGTACAGCATCGTGAAATATACAGCACACAGAAGTAGAATGTAGAAACGGAAGTTGATTCTACAACGCATTGTTCCTGATTCATCATACCCACAGTTACTGAAAATATAGGGAAAAAAACAACAAAATTAATCATAATAGTTATAATGATCAAAGCAAACTTCAAAGGAACTCCTGGATGAGGTCCAAAAGCCTAAAAACTATAATTTAGAATTTCTTACACAGATCAGCTGGAGCACTTAAAACAGACAGTTATACAGGATTTCTGACCCTGTGGGTTCAAATCCATCTGTCACTGGGGCAAGCTGTTGTTTTCTTGAGCAAGAAACTTTACATTCATTGCTAAGTACCGGTTGTTTCGAGGCACAGATTCGAGAGTGTTTCAATAAGAATTTATAGCTTCCAACACAATCAAACTAAAATAAGTTTATATAAACTAACCAGCAAATAGATTCTTATCATTATAGACAAATTTGGCAAATTATCTCCCCACCCCAGCAACTCCATATAAATCAAAACCTGGTGGATTTTTTTTTTTCAAATTTCTAATCCCCTGAATATATCAACCAACTAAAAACAACAAAAAAACAAACATCAATAATGAAGTTCTGCAATCAATATTTCATATTGCACATTTGTATGTATATATGTTCACTTCCGCAAAGCTTTCCCTGCTCCTATTTTCTATATAACCAGCGACTGATTAAACTGCCCCCCCCCCCCTCGGAAAAGATTTACAATAATCTGCAGACTTGGAATACTGTTTAAACATAATAAAACTTGTGAGTTTGTGTTGACATTATAACACCAGCTCTTTTGCATTTTTATTTTAATTGAATTTTCCCTGAAAACTATCACAGATTAAATTGTCTGGAAGAAATTACTTTTGTTTAAAGACATTGTCATATATATTTCTGAGAACATAAGCAAGTTTTATGATGTTGGCTTAGATATATATATATATTATATATATATATATATATAGAGAGAGAGAGAGAGAGACAAACCTCTAGGATACAAACATTTAAAACTTTGCACAAAAATAAACCCAAACTTGATCAAATGATTTCATTTAGAGGCCTTAAAGTGACATTTATGCCCATTCAAGTATATAATGGTGAGTGCTTATGTGAAAGTCAAAATAACTTTACATATTGCCATAATTGTGTTCAATTTCATAATTTAACGATGCAAAACTAATTATCAATCCACAGGACCAATGGAAATTTCTATATTAATTTCTTAAGTTAAAGAATGATATAATCAGGCCTACAATTTACAAATGGAGACATTTTTCTTTCTTTTTAATGAATTAACTTGTAAAATTTTTTACAGTCCATGTAATAATCTTCTGCAATAAAGACATTGTACAATTACTGACAGTAAACAATTTATGGACAATAATCATTAATGTAGACAATAGGGCTGCATGATGCACATTTACATGATTTTTATGTTAACGCTGAGTTACTATACGAGAACGCATATTTTCTTGCAAGCGACAAGACTTAGTATAAATCGATCATTGCATCAAATTGATTTTAAAAATGGTGCAGTTTCCTGCCCAGGGAAGTGTTGTCCATCCTCGTGCTCACGATATCATTGTTGTAATATGATTAATGGGGCATTTCCTATATCTCTTCAAATCATTTCATTTCCTATAAATCTATAATATTGTGTCTTCTCCGCGCTAACTTGCTTCATGTCCTTCTTTATTTAACATCAGTTACATCATTTTTGCATCAAGTCGATGGTTATTATAAACATATGAAATGCATCAAGGTTTTCTAATTCTTTTAACATAGATTTTTATATACATTGTAAATAATAATTATAAAGTTGTTTGGTACATAATGGCATTGATTGCAAATAAGAATACTTAAATGTGCCTTAATTAATTATTGCATTATTACTTTATGTTTTTGTTTGTTTGTTTCATTTTACGCCTTTCCTAACAGTATTTCAGTCATATAGGCGGGTAGTTTCCTAACCATCGTTCCTTGAGAGTTACACCAGTACTAGACTACCTTCCTCCGCAATAAACTACCAAAGCATCTCCCGGGGATCAAACCCACGCCATGCAGAGAGGTAACTGGATTAGAAGTCATCGACTCTAACCCCTCGACCACAGAGGCGAAGCATTATTACTTTATACTTTTAATGATATGAATACAAGTACAAAATAACATTGAACCTGTTCATTAGTTACATTATGCTTACAAGTTACAAGTTTGTTGTCAATGTTATCCGAAACTTGGCAAATGTTGGTTTTTCCAAGCTTACCCCCCTACTGCGGATAAAACAAACTTTTACCGTTATAGCTTCACAGTGAGCTAATGGTCACAATAGACTAGTCAACCTGTCTGTTGCACTTATTTTTGAGTCAGCAACTGTAAAAGTTTGTTTGCAACCGGAATTAGTTGGGAAAGCCCCAAAAGATTATCATTTTCAAAGTAAGTCTATATGAGTAATTTGTCAAATTAGCTACATATTCCAAAAAAATGACCATTGATAGATCCCGTCCTCTGACCTAAATTTAACCACTAACAATGACATGTGTTCTTTTGACAATTGAAATTCTTATTATAATCCAATTAAATCTAATAATTCAAATGGAAAAGATTAGGGTCATGTAGTGATCTATGCATTGTAATCATGATTGACCAATAATTGAAAATGACAAAATATTTGTAGAATACAAAATTATAACTGCATAAAAAAATATGGAAAAAAAACTGTCGCAGTCTTTTTATCAATTGAACATATTACTAATAAATTCTGAAGGATATTTACAGAAATTTCCGACAGTCATGGGGGTTATTGTTTATTCATGAAAGTAGAATATAAAATTAAATGTATTTACGTCAAAATGTAATTTAAAGTTATTTTGACTTTTACCAATCCAGCACATGATTTTTCACATGAATGTGCTGTAATAAATGTCACTTTTATCATAGGATGCATTCAATGCACCATTTGTAATTTTTAATTAATCATAACTATCAATTATTCACATTTATATTACATTGTATTGCAATTAAATATAATCTGAAATTTAAAAAAAAATGAAAATGTTGCACGATTGATTTCACTGATTTACATGAAAATGGTGTTCAACAAATTTGAAATATTTACTACAGAAAGTAAATCATCAATGAACTTTCAACGGGACTTTTTTGTGCTATTCCATTATAAAGATGTATTAAAGAATTTATCACACCACACATAGTACAGAAAATTAAATATTAACAGCGACTTTAACATGACCTTACAATGTCTCACAAACTGAGAGAATAAAAAAAGCTTTTGAAACTTTCACAGCATTTTGAAAATTATAATCACTGGACTCAAACATTTACTTTTCTTGTCATTTAATCATTAACCTTTTCACCTATACATTAAATTTAAAAGTTCACTTTGACCTTGACCTTCTTAACAACTTATAACTGCCAATATGTTGCCTCATAATAGGTGATTATTCCTGATAAATGATTCTGAAATCTAGAAATAATCAGCAAAGACAGAAGGCTTAGACTTCAGATTCTATTCCTGCTATTATATTCTATTTATGCTATTATAGCATTCAAAGATTAAAATGAATAATTGGAAAAGCTTCTGATCTTTTCATTTTCTTTTGATTGCAAAATGAAAAAAAAAATAAATTATAATATAAAACCACCAACTTCTTAAGACAAAATCTTCACAAAATCAATTTTAATTTAAATTGGAAAAGCTGAATTCAATTATTTATTGCATGCAAGAGTCCAGGGAAGTAGGGTTGTTTTCTTTATATAAATTGTAAATTAATCAAACATTTCAAATAGTTTTTTTCTTCTTCAATATTTCTTTATACTTCATAATGACTCTCCATAAAAATATATTTTATTATTTCATATAAATTCATTTTAATTTGATTGTGTTGGAAGCTATAAGCTTATAAAATCATTGTCAAATCCATTCCTTGAACTTAGTTTAAAATCAGTACTTAGCAATGAGTGTAAAGTTTCTTGCTCATGGAAACAAGGTATTGCTCCTGACAGGGTTTGAACCTTTAAAGGGCCAGAAATCCTTAAATTACTAGATTATTTTTTCATTACATAAACCACACGGAAAAGCCTCCACTGTGCACATGGATTGGAACTTTAACCTCTTACCCACGAATTACCGGGTTTGCAAGTCTACCCACAGAGCTAACTTCACCAAAATTAGTAATCAGTCTTGTACTGTGACATTCAAAGGTAACAATAAGAATCATTCCATTAAGGTTCAAAATTTGGAAGTCAGAGACTGCATATAAAATCTCTGATATTGGAGGTAAAGAAAGAAAAGTATTAGGCCTTTTGGAAGTCACATTGTATAGGTAAAGAAAGAAAAGTATAAGGCCTTTGGAAGTCACAAGTCAAAATCAAGGAGTAAATGACTCTCAAACTTCCATTAACAGAAGCCCAATGAATCAGTCTAATATATTATCTACAGCCTGACAAGATTAAAGTAAACAGCATTTCAGACTCTATTAATGCAATTGTCACATTATATTAGTCAATGTTTACTAAAGGCCATTAACTTCCATTGATGAAATTAATTTACTTAATTGAACATATTGTTATCCCATTTCTCCAATTACATCAGTCAGTTTCAATACAGATATTGATTAGCATGTAAGAAATTCGATTTGATCTTTTGAATAGCTTTATCAGTAACATAATGTATTATTTTCCAATCAAATATTATCATTGAAATTAAATTACCATGCATTTCAGACAATTAGTATGTTCAGATGGAGGACAGTCTGTCTCGGCTCAGCACTGCAATAATAGGTATTTCCTTTCTATAACTATGATACTTATAATAAATAATAATTGTGAACAATTATCACAACCCAGAGACATAATCTTTTCTTGGTCTAACATAGTGTGTCAATTGTTACAGTAAAATAAATGTGTATTAACATATTTATTTAAGTTTGATTGCAAAACAAGTTCTTGCAACTTATATAAATCACTTTTGAGTCAGATTTCTGGAACCAACCAGTACTGGTGTCATATGGAGTCTCAAACATGGATTCGAACCCATGATCCCAGGGTTGAGAGGCAGACACC